AACACCGTCTACAAAAACAACTTAAGAAAACGAAAGATTTACGCCTTTACCCACAACAGTTTCTCTGACTCAAACACACCTTGTTTTCATCGTTCAGCTCGACTAACATTCTTCTTTTTATCTCCCTCGCTGCCTCCTACTTGATCTCATATCTATCTTATGTTGTTGCCTCCAACAAATAATATCCTCTCGGGTACTTATAATAATCTTCTTTTGGTCGAGATGATAAATGAAAAAAAGTAGATGCCGTCTGTTCTTGCAATTTCATCGACGATCAGGTGTAATAAGATGATAATAAGAGTATTTTATTCTTCGCATAATAATCTTCTTATCGTTGATTATCTTGGCAACGGTTTACCCTGTTGATTTTATTTTTCCGTTACATAACATACTCTTTTTATTATCTTTAATCTCAAACTTGCTCTAATGCCAGCCATTAGTATCACTAATAAAATCAGTATTATCATTATCATGATCCTCATATTATAACTATTACCGTTATTATATTATGTAGTATTATCATTGTCGTTGTTGTCGTTGTTATTATAGAGCATCTAAAATTTATCATTGAATTCAATGACTATTTACAGGATCTAATTATGCATGAGAAACTGCACGCTATTTCCTTTTCTTCTCTGAATAAATTCTTAAAAAAGGCAAAGCCGAAATTTGTGCTCATATCATCTAGAAGAGTTGATTCGTTCTTGGCTCGTTTGCTGGGTTTTACAAAAGGCAATGCTAGTCTATCCATGATATTTTCTTCTCGCAGGAGCATAGAGGTATTTGGTAGTTACTTTTAGACCTGATATATGGATGGAGTGTGTTTCTGCTGCAGGACTGTTCTGAGTGTTTGTTTTATGTTTTGTACGTTTTAACCTGAATTTCAGTTGCTGCACGAGAAATTGAGCAATGCATCAACACTGAAGCATTGCTATAGGGATTTTCATCTGGTTTCTATCGAGGAGATGGAGCATGAAGTGCACTCTGATGTGAACCCATTCATGAAGACCCATTCAATAGGTTACCACACTGCTAGATTAATCCTCATCAGGAAGAGTTTCATGGAAATGTTCTGTTCAATGTAGCATGTGTTTGAAAAGAGCTTGGCGGTGGCCCCTGGCCGGGCTTAATCGGGCTTAGATGGGCCTAGAACAAGGAAAAATCTCTAGTGCAGCGTGCTGCTTATTTTCACATCAATCAGATGATACTTGCTGTAGGTAACACTGCGCGCCTGCAATGACAATCCATCCTAAAAGGCGTTGAGATTCTTTACATTCTCTCAAAATCATTAGTTTTTTAGGACACCTGTCCTCTGAGGCCTTAGTCCTTTTCTAGAACAATTTGTAGCTTGGTTTTACATTATCAATCTTGTCACGAGATATTAGAGCCCCTCTCCATTGGGGATGTGGATTGTGTATAGAAAGATGGACACAACCATATTTAATGTAGTCATTAGCATTGGAGAAGATATTTATACCTTAATCTTGTTTTTTAAGTGACAGTGTATTTTCCAACCATCCATATCTCACCCATAAGAAATGCTCTCATTGATATAAATCTCATCTCATTCATGTCTCATCTTGTGGAATAACATCTAGGTCGATTGGTGGTTGTATTTTATGTAGAGATCTAGTCTTTATAGATGTATTGCACAATTTTAGACTTGTATCCCTCTTTAATTTTCAGTCAATATCTTGCATTTACAGAAGGTAAGTGAGTGTAACTTTTTGCATTCACAAGCGAAGTGAAAAACAATTGTCCAGTACTCAAAATAGATTGTCTTGTCTTGGACTTGATTGAGTACTTCAAAGTTCAAACTATTTATGCAGGATTCTTCTCCACCATTCGACACCATAGAATGGGATTGGGATCCTCTACCCGACTAGGAGGGTGCCTTGCGCATCGGACAGTCGGGCAGCAACGAGGACGGTCTCGAGATCAGCGAAAGTGTGAACCCCAAGATCTACGGCCGTTGAATTGCCGATCGGACGGCTGTCCGGAAGTAAGGCACTCTACCTTGCTGTAAAGTAAGGCAGAGGCTCTGGATCCGAATGGGATGTCATTGGATTCTTCTCCATCATTGGATTGATATTTTATAATGTGATTAGCGGCATTTGAATTTATCCAGTGTCATGAAAGGTGCAACTAAAAGACTACGTGTGTATATTAAATTGCAGTATTGCACTCCCAAGAAGACATGTTTGTTCACATAATGCTTATTTATTACTCCGTATAGGCGTATATGCTTCATTCTGCCCGTAGTGATGACTCTTAAAAACAATATAAGGTTTTGAACTCCTAGAGTTCAAGAATAAGAACAAACATCGTTTACAATTTTTTTTTACAAGTTTTAAAATGAGAATGTAGCTGCAAACACAAGATTAATGAGAAACTATTATCATAATGCTTTGAGAAAGAAATTCGATTTAACTAGGAAGTGCTTTTTAGCCGATAAAATAAAGGCTGGAGGGTCAAATAGGCCCCATGTACTTGTCCGTAATGCTCAATTCGACCCTCTGAACTGAAAAAAGCTTCAATTGACACCTGAATTGGATAAAAAAGTTTCAAATTTAACAATTTGTAGGTAACCATCCGGTCAGCGCCACATCATCAGGTCATGTGTCAACCGTGCATCTATAATTAGGAAAATATTTTCATTAAACAACCAACTTTATCACCAAACATGTAATTTTTTTTTCGCTCACTTTTTTGTGTAATAATAAGAAAATGTAAGGTTGAAGTTACTTTTCTGGATGTATTGGCTGTATTGGTTTAAGTTGGTGTAGATGATCATTCTAGTAATTTTTATTATAATTTTTTCTTTATTTAATTAATAAAATATATTTTAAATACGATTTTTTCATAAATAAGCAGAATCAGCCAAGTCCATCATTTGCAATGGAGCCAAAGATTCATTATTTTTTGGCTTGAGAATATGATGGAATAAAGCAAAATGGCTCACTAAACTGTCTGCGTTTCTTTGTTATGAAGCAGCAGTAACTCCATGCAATTTTGGACGCGATTTTCACTATGGGTCATCCGGAAATAGTCTCTTTGTGTTTTAGTACAGGAGTAAGACTGCGTACATCCGACCCCCCCTTACCCCACCGTAGGTGGGAGCCTTTGCGGCACTGAGTAAATGAAAATGATGAAGCAGAATCAGCCAATCTAGCTTGAATCAAAACTTCATAAATTTCAGCAGAATCAACCAATGCAGCTCATTTAGGTATTACCAAATAGGATCTTAATGTTTCTTCTAGATATATATATATATAATAGGGTGCGGTTCCGGTGAGAACACTTCTTAACGTGAGAAATGAGAACGCTCCAAAATGATGCACTTTATCATTCACGAAAATGCACATTTATAGTTAAAGTAATGCAAATTTCTAATGTGCACTTTTACGTGTAAACTTTTGCACGGTTGAAATACACATTTTCCAATTTTTCATATGCACATTTCTTTTTTACATGATGCACAATGCTAAAATCCAACGCTCCAAAATCATTCTCATTTCTCTCCTAAGATGGTATTCTCATTTGATCCTTACCCTATATATATATATATGTATATATATATATATATACATATGTATATATATATATACATATGTATATATATACATATGTGTATATATATATATACATATGTATATATATATATATACATATGTATATATATATACATATGTATATATATATATACATATATATATATATGTACATATATGTATACATATGTATACATATATGTACATATATATATACATATATGTAAATATATATATATATATATATATATATATATATATATATATATATATATATATATATATATATATATATATATACATAGTGTATATATATGGATGGAGCAGAGGTTAACAGCCTCCATTACTGCTGCGATGAAAGGTACGAGACTTAGACTGCGGGGTTTGAAGTTAACGTTGACGTTCACGATTATAGAGTTAGTTTATAAAATTTACAAGTATGCCACCGTCTAAATCAGAGCCGTACATTACTGATCAAACCGCTGGGAATGAAAGTTCCCAGTTCTCATTTTAAATAAGTGTTCTCATTGGATACCTACCCATATATATATATATATATATATACACACACACACACATATATATAGAGAGAGAGAGTAATGTTCCGGTCAGGAGTTCCTGACCAGAACCGCCGTCCGGACCGCGGTGTTTGGCCGCCTTCCCGGTGGTTTTTTTTGATGAAATTTTTATGACATGTTCTCCGTCAAGTCTAGTTTACCCACATTTTTTTTTATAGAGGATCATTCCTCTATATATACATACATACATACATACATACATACATACATACATACATACATACATACATACATACATACATACATACATACATACATACATACATACATACATACATACATACATACATACATACATACATACATACATACATACATACATACATACATACATACATACATACATACATACATACATACATACATACATACATATATATATATATATATATATATATATATATATATAATTTGCATTGCATATTGAGGTTCAAAGTATTGCACATTATAAAGTCATAAAAATAACAGTTGCACATTAAGGTGCAACGAGTTGCACTCTAAAAAGTTGGGTTTTATTACAAAAATGCTACCTTGCCTTTATGTCCATTGGATCAACTCATCGGACGGTCAAGATGAGTTTGTACTTTGTAAATTAAGAAGGCTTTGTATTTGATCTTTATTCTATATATATATATATATATATATATATATATATATATATATATATATATATATATATATATATATATATATATATATATATATATATATATATATATATATATATACATATATAAACACATATATATATACACACACACACACACACACACACACAATGTTCAGGTCAGGAGTTCCTGACCGGAACTGCCATCCGGACCGCGGCGTTTGGCCGCCTTCCGGGTGGAATTCTTTGATGAAATTTTTATCACATGTTCTACATCAAGTCTAGTTTATCCACACAAAAATTCAGCCAAAAACTCAATCGGGAAGGTCGTCAAATAATTTTTGCAAGTTAACTGGTCCAGAATATGTATTTTCCGGACCAGTTAACTTGCAAAAATCATTTGACAACCTTCCCGACTTCCCGTTTGAGTTTTTGGCTGATTTTTTTTGTGGGTAAACTAGACTTGACGGAGAATATGTCATAAAAATTTCATCAAAAAAAACCACCGGGAAGGCGGCCAAACGCCGCGGTCCGGACGGCGGTTCTGGTCAGGAACTCCTGACCGGAACATTACTCTCTCTCTCTCTCTATATATATATATATGTGTGTGTGTGTGTGTGTGTATATATATATATATATATATATATATATATATATATATATATGGGTAGGTATCCAATGAGAACACTTATTTAAAATGAGAACTGGGAACTTTCATTCCCAGTGGTTTGATCAGTAATGTACGGCTCTGATTTAGACGGTGGCATACTTGTAAATTTTATAAACTAACTCTATAATCGTGAACGTCAACGTTAACTTCAAACCCCGCAGTCTAAGTCTCGTACCTTTCATCGCAGCAGTAATGGAGGCTGTTAACCTCTGCTCCATCTATATATATATGTGTGTGTATATATATATATATATATATATATATATATAATAAAGATCAAATACAAAGCCTTCTTAATTTACAAAGTACAAACTCATCTTGACCGTCCGATGAGTTGATCCAATGGACATAAAGGCAAGGTAGCATTTTTGTAATAAAACCCAACTTTTTAGAGTGCAACTCGTTGCACCTTAATGTGCAACTGTTATTTTTATGACTTTATAATGTGCAATACTTTGAACCTCAATATGCAATGCAAATTATATATATATATATATATATATATATATATATATATATATATATATATATAGAGAGAGGAATGATCTTGTCCAGCCGGAGAAACAGGATCTTCCGGCCGGCCGCCGCCGTTTGGGGCGGTTCCCGGTGGAGTTTTTTGATGAAATTTTTATGGAATGTTCCTCATCAAGTCTAGTTTATCCACAAAAAATTTCAGCTAAAAATTCGATCGGGAAGGCAGCCAAATAATTTTTTGAAGATTACTGCTCCAACTTAAACATATAAAACACAGTTATGTTTCAAAAAATTATTTGACTGCCTTCCCGATCGAATTTTTAGCTGAAATGTTTTGTGGATAAACTAGACTTGATGAGGAACATTCCATAAAAATTTCATCAGAAAACTCGACCGGGAACCGCCCCAAACGGCGGCGGCCGGACGGAAGATCCTGTCCCTCCGGCTGGACAGGATCTTTTCCGTATATATATATATATATACAGAAAAGATCAGGTCCCTCCGGAGGGACGGGAGGGACCGTCCGAACTTTACTGTTTGGGGAGGTTCCCGGTGGAATTTTTTGATGAAATTTTTTGAGCATGTTCCTCATCAAGTCTAGTTTGTCCATACCAAATTTCAGCTCAAAATTCGACCGAGAAGGCAGTCAAATAAATTCTTGAAGCTTACTGCACATTCTGCGCATATATAAAGTGCAGTAAGTTTCAAGAATTTATTTGACTGCCTTCCCGATCGAATTTTGAGCTGAAATTTGGTATGGACAAACTAGACTTGATGAGGAACATGCTCAAAATATTTCATCGAAAAATTCCACCGGGAATCGCCCCAAACAGTAAAGTTCGGACGGCTGCTCCCGTCCCTCCGGCTGGACCTGAGCAGTCCTCTATATATATATATATAGAGAGAGAGAGAGAGAGAGAGAGTAATTATCCGGTCAGGAGTTCCTGACCGGAACCGCCGTCCGGACCGCGGCGTTTGGCCGCCTTCCCGGTGGCTTTTTTTTTATGAAATTTTTATGACATGTTCTCCATCAAGTCTAGTTTATCCACAAAACAATTCAGCCAAAAACGCAATCGGGAAGGTCGTCAAATGATTTTTGCAAGTTAACTGGTCCGGAAAATACATATTCTGGACCAGTTAACTTGCAAAAATTATTTGACGACCTTCCCGATTGGGTTTTTGGCTGAATATTTTTGTGGATAAACTAGACTTGATGGATAACATGTGATAAAAATGTCATCAAAAAATTCCACTCCGAAGGCGGCCAAACGCCGCGGTCCGGACGGCGGTTTTGGTCAGGAACTCCTGACTTGAACATTTGTGTGTGTGTGTGTGTGTATATGTGTGTGTGTGTGTGTAGAATAGAGATCAAATACAAACCATGCTTAATTTACAAAGTACAAACTTATCTTGGCCATCCGATGAGTTGATCTAAAGGATATAAAGGCAAGGTGGCATTTTTGTAATAAAACCTAACTTTTCTAGGGTGCAACTCGTTGAACGTTAATGTGCAACTACTATTTTATGACTATATAATATGCAACACTTTGAACCTCAATATGCAATGCAAATAACGTCAAGGTGCATCGTACAAACATTTGCACAATAAGCACAGTTTGTACTTGATCTTTCCCCTATATATGTATATGTGTGTGTGTGTGTGTGTGTCATCCTTTAGATATATATTTAAAAAATTAAATGAAATAGTGTGAAAGAAAGTGAAAAAAAAAAGTTAAAAAAATAGAATAAATATAAATAAACTAAAAATATGAATCTAATAAATAAAACACAATCTGGATAGCATTTTAGTAATACATAGAGACTAGTGTAACACCCGGGGCATGCCCCGGGTAGCGTCACTTTGATAAGTATTAAAATGATAAACATTAATAGAAGTTGATAATTTTTACTCAATCGTGTAAAATACGATGACATTTGTTAGTAAAAAGGAATTTGTGTGCTATTATGATTTATAGTGGTTTTGAAAGCAAATGCAACTATAAATTTGTTGAGTATTACGGAGTATTCATAAGCATTTAATTAAATTTAAACTTTTATGTTGTACACAGTATTTGTTATTGTATTGCATGCATCCTTCTCATCCACTCCACAAAATATTAAACCATTTCTAATCCATGGAGTCTACTTAATTAATTTGCTTCGTAATATAAATATAGAGTTGTGAGAACTTTGATGTATTAAAATCCATTGATGGTAAACTACCCATCAATTATAATTTTGACCATGCATTCGATATACATATGACCCTCTAGAAATGTTTACTTCTTTTTGTATCTTGCCTCCTAACAAAGTGAATGAAAATCTCATCATCTATGTTTTTAGGAAGTTTGCAATTCTTCTATTGGTGCCTTTGAAGAGGTTTAATAAAAAATATCAGATGGCTTTGTAATGAATGAGATTGAATCCTTGTTACAAACACATCGAAAATAATAATGTTGAACTATTGGTGGAAGACATGTAAATAACATAGATAGGCTAAAAAATTTGTAAGCATGGGTTATAAATAATGTGAATCAAACTCATAAGAGTGAGGTAAATGTTAATTGTATCGTGGAAGTAAAACGATTTTGCATCCATATTTTTGGCAAAAAAAACTATTCTTAAGTGTTAGTCAATATGCAAATATGTGATACTCCCTCCGTAACATTCATATCTTCCCACTTTCCTTTTTTGGACGTAACATTTATATCTTCCCATTTCTAAATCTTCCCATCATACCCTCAATAATTTAAAAAATAATACACTACCACACCTACTTTTTTTGGATTTATCCTTCATTCTATCACATTATTTCACCATCTTCCCATCATACCCTCAATAATTCATACCCCATTTCACTATTCTTAATCTCACCCACTTTGGAAGTGGGAATATATATGTGATACGGAGGGAGTATCATTTTAGGAAAAAGTAAAAAAAACCTACGAAAATGATAATTATACCTAACTTTTATGGACTAAAATGATATGATGTTGGGTAATTATTAGGGAAATACTCCGTATATTCTTACATGTTACAGCATAAAATATGCTCTGTGGCTAATGTAGAAAACTTGAAAGATCTACATGTATTTAGCCATGTTTTCAGCAAGACATACAGCCGATTAAAATAGTAGGTAGTATTAAATAATGGTAATAAGTAAAATCTGTTTTATTTATTCCAGTTCAAATTAACCACTCCTACTCATTTGCAGAGTGATTATTAATAGAAGATTGAGCAGCCAACTGCAAAAAACACTGGCAAACATCCTCCATCACTTTTATCACGGAAAGCTGGGTGTCAAGATCTCTGTACCTTTTATGATACGTATCATCCAACATTTTCACTACTGCATCTAAGCTAGGCATCTGGAAGTTGGGTATTCCAAAGGCAGTGTTGCAGTTCAGGCTCGCTTTTACATCTGCACAAGTCAGTGAAGCTATCTCTAAGCTGCAAGATTTGTCTGTCGCATTTGAAGTTCCACCTTTATTTGCTGATGACCCTGGCTCATTATTAGGCTTGACCAGTAAATGACCACCAACGCTCTTATTGGGTGACTGTGGATTGGCTGAAAGACGCTGTTTGCCCTTGCTTTTAAGATCCATTTGTCCATCACATGGCTGAGGTGGTCCCTGAAGAAGTGCATCCCCACCATCATCGTGCCTTGTCCGTGAAGTCCCACCAAGGCTAGACGGTGATGGTTGACCATCTTGCTGCCTCAAACGAAATCTTTTTAATGGTCTCTCGGGCTCTTCATTCAAAACCTCGTCTTCCTCCAAAGCACATTCCTGTGCAGCACAGATAGAAGATTTTGCGCGTCTTGCTTCCTCAGCTTCCTCATACTCAAAAATTGCATCCAAAAGGGATCTATAATTCTCCTCAATGAGATCCCAGTTTTTATTATACAACTTTAAAAGACGCTTCAATACAGGCTTCACCTTTTCTTCAGATATCCCGAGAACCTTGGTAGCACGGAAGGCATTTGCAATCCTTTTCCTAGAATCAGGACCCATTCCTAACTATAGCAGACTCACAGAAGAATCGGTTTGTCAGCCCACCTAATTCTTTCAGGAAATGGAACAGACTCTCTGAAGAACTTTGGGTGGTCACCGCTTCTCCACAACTTGAATCAAGTTCTCAATTAGCCAATGAGAGGAGTGTAGACATGGTTTGAGATGCTATGATTATCCCTCAGCCACCGTGAAAATTCCAATGGCCGGACAAGAAAGCATCTTACACTGATCTCAGTTGTACATTTGTACTGGAAAAAAAAAAGGATAATTATTAGGGAGAATTTGACTTTGCACCCCATGTTTTGGGTGATATTGGACTTTGTACCCTATTTTCAAAATCATTAATATTTGCACCCTATTTTACTATATAATCATTTGACTTTGCACCCACTCCTTCACAAATTTTGAGCTAATGAGGTGCAAATATTAATGATTTTGAATTTGGGGTGCAAAGTCTAATATCGCCTAAAACATGGGGTGCAAAGTCAAATTACCCCTTATTATTACACATGTTTTTAAAGATAAGAAAAAATATGGCTTTAACCATTAATCGAACTTATTTTTACAATACTTAAAGGTTAACAAATGCGAGGAATTTGACTTTGCACCTTATTTTCAAACTTATTAATGTATGCCCAGATCAGCCCAAAAATTATAAAGGATATGGGTGTTGAGTCAATTGATTTTATGTTGAATGGGGCAAAATTCAATATTACCCAAAAATGGAATACAAAGTCCTATAATATAATATAAGGTGTGCAATATTATATCATGGTAAATTTCAGTGACACTTAAGCTTATAAAAAAAGGACTATATCTAACTTAACATTTAAGTTTGCTAGTGATGTGAATGGTCTTTCGATCAACACATCTCAGTCAGAAGTTGCAGTTAAAAGTTTCTGCTGGTAACCTGGAGGAGTTGGCTCCCATTATGGATCAGTGTTTGAGGGCTGCAATTGAGAGGAATGTCTCTGAGTTAGTGATTGAGATGAATTTTAGGCCAACAACTTACTATAATATTCCGAAGGAAGTATTTGTCTCTAATTCACTAAAGGTCTTAGAGCTTCATGGCTGTAAGTTTGAGGATAGTTTTTCCTGCACTAATCTTCCACATCTACAAAAGCTCAGAACCGTGCGGTGCCTGTTTGCTGGTGAGAACGTCTTATCCAAGATTTTATGTGGCTGTCCTGAGTTGGAGTATCTGGAAGTTTTGATTTCTGAGGGCATGAGAAGTTCTATCTCGGTTTCATGTAAACCTAGATTGAAATATTTTTATATCGGGTGTCGCCACGAGCTCAAGAGGATTGAGATCTTTGTGCCCAGTCTTGAAACGTTAAAATGTTATTTTGCGTATTCATGTTCGATTGACTTGGCTAGTTGCACTCTTCTCAAACATTTGGAAATAAACCACGCTATCCTCTCTTCTGATTACGTCCCCATTCAGTATCTTTTATCTAACCTTCTCCAAATTGAAGAATTGCATTTGTCTAACTGTAAATCAGCTGACAAAATTCAAATAGCAAGTTCATGCCTCAAGAGACTTGTCATTACCGAGTCACACAAAAACTTTCCTGGTGCTGAACTTGACATCCCAAATTTACTTAGTTTAGACTTCTTTTCTATGGGTGAATGTAATACAAATAACCGGTTCAGTTCTTGGAATGTTCCCAAGGTAGAAGAAATTCACATGGCGTTTTCTGTTAAAAGCTTTCAGAGTGCTTGCAGGGGTGGACTGAAGGGGTTCCTTATGCAGTTACAAAATTATGAAGATGTGAAATTGATTATACAGTGCAGAGGTGAACAGGTAAGTCTCATTGACTTTTTAAGTTCTTACTTCACATGCAATTTTTGACGCGATATTCTCCTTGGGTCATTTGAATAGAGAAGGTTGTTCAATTTTCTGGACAAATTTAATTTACTGTATTCTTTTCTCTTTGAGGTTCTGGTCATCTGTGTAAGACTCATCAACATACAAGAAAACTGAGACGCATATAATTATACATGCAAGGTTTACTGTAACATCTTTGAGTGGTTCAATGGTGCTAAGTGACAAGGGCGCTCATCTAACTAATGCACACGATAGAAACTAGAAAGGTATTCAAACAAAGATCAGTTGAATATGGGAGATCTATATTTGGCGCCATATTCTGACTATCCATAGTTGGAAGTGAGAAGTCTATCCTTCTTTAATAAGGATGAGAACTTGAGCCCAATACTTATTTGGTCGGCTGTCGGTGGTAATTAATCAGTTGAATATGGGAGATTTGCATTTGGCGCCATGGCAGGCTGGTTCTGTTTGATCATCTTGCCCCTACTTTCTCATCCTAATCAGCCATTCAGGCTGCTTCTCATTTTTCTCCGCCATGTCAGGCAGAGGCCATGAAAGGACCGCTTTATTCATGTCCCAAACATTAACCTAGATTAAGTTCAGTTTCTCCATGTCCAAACAAGATAACCTTTCGTTTCCTGAAGGGGTGTTTTTGGGGGATGGGCTTAGACTATGCTCTCTTGGACTTATTTCGACCTAGACACATTGCATCAGACTAGACCACCATGATATAATACATAGTATATTACTCCCTCCGTCCCAGGGAGAAGTTCCCGGGTTGACTTTCCCACATATTAAGGAAAGTCAAACTGTTTGGCACTGTTTTGCACTGTTTAGCACTGATTTGATGTTGGATAACTTTCCATTTAGGGAAATGGGAACTTTTTGTTGGGACTGCCAAAAAAGGAAAGTGGGAACTTGTCCCTGGGACGGAGGTAGTATGTTATAGTATTCTTATTATAATGATCTATTTATTTGGACTAGAATTTTCTTGTCTAGTCTGGCCTACACTAGCTGATTTCTCTAAGTGTGGTATGATATGGTCCCTTAAGTTTTTCTATTTTGGTCTAGTCTAGTTATATTTTGGCCTTGTTTGGTAAATAGTTTATCAGCCAATTTTTGGCTCCTTGACCACAATTAATGATTTGGACTGTGTAAACGCCACATTTAAATATTTAATGTTTGGTAAATGGATGTCGATTTAGCTTATTGGATCCAAAAAGACTAAATTTGAAACGCTGGAATAGGCAGCGTTTACCATTGGCATTTCTGTTTTTGCTCTCTTTATTGTGCCTGTCGTTGAGAAATTTTTCCACTGGCTTCTGCAAATTCTTCATCAAAGTTTGTATTCTTCAGCTATCTAGAATTAGGGAGGGAGGTATGTATTTATATAAATTTGTATTCATTTCTAGTTTTTTTCTATTTTAGTTCCAAAGCTGCTCACTCTGTTTGTTCCCCCGGCTTCTTCTTCTATGTTTTTTTTTCTATTTCATATGATTAATTCCACCTCCCGTTCTGTGTATGAAGTCAACTGAACCCATCTCCGGTCCGCATAATGGCAATCAACAAAATGCTTCTGAAGGCGGACATCCTTGAGGTCCGGCGGTTCCATCAACCTATGATTGATTCAATATACCTGTTGCGAAAATTAGATTTGGAGCATCGTTTTCTCTTATGTCCTTTCCACTTTGTTTCAAAAACTGGCCCTGTAGAGCTAATGTTAATTGTATATATTAAGGCTGTATTGTGATTTGCAACTGTGATTTCAATAGAGGTTATAACATTTTGATAAAAATATACACAATGATCGGAAAGGTTTCCTGGGAATCTGGGATGGACTAGTGATCTACGTTCACTATTCCTAAAACTGTTAGTGTTGAGTTCGACCCACTTCATGCATGTGATCTGATGTTATTTTTAATTTATTTTGATAAAAAGATTCTATTGACTTTCTATTTTTTAATTTGTTTTGATCATATATTCTACTGAGTGGTGACTATCTAATAATTGTAAAGCCTGATGATCACAGATGAATCTTACTCCTTATTTAATTTGGCAATGGAAAAACATTATCTCAGCATATAGATAGAGTAAGTAAAAGCCAGTCTTGGAAAGAGCATAAGTCACCCTCCATAACAACGAAAGTGTATAAAAACTCAAAACTCGTGAATGTTATAAAATAATCCTGATGGAAGCTAAACACATTCACAATTGATTATATGGGTATTTATTTTATACTTCATATTTAATTAAAATAAGTATGTTTATTATTTTATTAGACGCATTCTAGTACTTGTTCATGTTTGTTGGTATTCATGTTATTTTAGAACGTGAATCCGTGTTATTTCAATTAATAAAAAATTAAGTTATTTTATTTGTCATATAGATTTACTCATCAAGTTTTAAATCTTCTAAAATACGAATGATTTGTACTCTATAATTTAATGTAGGTAACATTGTTTTATAAGTAATATCTAAAAAAAATAACATTCCTATACGTATTTTTACACTCAAACAGCCAATTTACCAAACAATTATTGACAATAAGCTAACATAATCAGCCAACTAAAACAGTTAACACAACCAGTTAACAAATAGCTAATTATTGTTAATAAGCTATTGTCAAACCACTATCATAACTAGCTAACAACTAACAGCTAGATTGCCAAATAAGGCCTTGATATTTTGTTTTGTTACTATGAAATGCAAGTCTTGTATAGTCTAGTTTGGTTTCGCAAATCTGTTTTGACCTAAGCCAGACTGGTATGATATGTTTTTATGTAATTTTATATTTTTATTATGGTGAAAGGCGATTCATTAATAAATATGTAATTTGTTACTTATATAGTTATTAAAATACAAAAAAAAAACATTTTTTAAATTAGTTTTTATAAGATTATTTCCATTTCAATTATCTTTTTTGGTCTAAAAAACTACTTCGTACGATAGTATAAGATTTTCAATATCGTTTGCATATACCTTCATTTTATGACCTATTTAAATAATACTCCTTAACATTAAAAAGTGTGAAGATGTGGTATTTAAATAACTACGATATGTATAATCTTGCAGTGCTATTAAAAATATATCTATAAAAATAAACTTCACATAATGCCAAATTAGAGTAGTTCACACCCGTCAAAACCAAGCTTAACCAGATCAAACCAGACAAGAGCAATTTAGATTGGACTAGACCAGAAAATTATATATTGCTCGATGAGCTAAACTTTTAGGCTGCAGTTGACTCTTTTTGTTATCCTTAGTCTCAAACTTGCTCTAATGAGAGTCATTAGTATCAGTAATAGTATTAATATTATCATTATCATGATTATGATCATGATTCTCGTATTATTACTATTACCTTTATTTTTTTATTATTATTGTCGTCGTTGTCGTTATTATAGTGCATCTAAAATTTATCATTGAATTTAAATACTATTTACAGGATCTAATTATGCATGAGAAACTGCACGCAGTTTCCTTTTCTTCTCTGAATAAATTCTTAAAAAAGGCAAAGCCAGAATTTTTGCTCATATCATCCAGAAGAGATGATTCGTTCTTGGCACGTATTTTGGTTTCTAGAGAAGACACTATTAGTCTATCCATGATATTTTCTTCTCGCAGAAGCATAGAGGTATTTGGTAGTTACTTTTAGACCTTTCATTTGATATGTGTGTGTGTGTGTGGATGGGAATGTGTTTCTGCTGCAGGACTGTTCTGAGTGTAGCTTATGTTTTTTACTTTTTAACCTGAATTTCAGTTGCTGCACGAGAAACTGTGCAATGAATCATTTCTGAAGCGTTAGTATAGGGAATTTGAGCTGATTTTTATCGAGGACATAGAGCATGAAGTGGACTCTGATGTGAAACACTTCATGAAGACCCAATCAACAGGTTACCACACTGCTAGAATAATCTTCATCAAGAAGAGTTTGATGGAAATGATCTGTTCAATGTAGCATGTGTTTGAAAAGCGCTAGGTGGTGGCCCCTGGCCGGGCATAATCAGGCCTACATGGGCCTAGAACAAGAAAAAACCTCTAGTGCAGCATGCTGCATTGCTGTTTATATTGACATCAATCAGATGATACTGCTGTCTGTAACTCTGGGCTCTTGCAATGACAATCCATTCTAAAAGGCGTTTAGATTTTTTACATTCTCTCCAAGTCGTTAGTTTTTTTATGACATATGTCCTCTGAGGCCTTGGTCCTTTTCTAGAACAATTTGCATCTTGGTTTTACATTATCAATCTTGTCAGGAGATATTAGAGCCCCTCTCCATTGGGGATGTGCATTGTGTAGGCAAAGATGGTCACAACCATATTTAATAGGGAAAAGGGGCAAAAATGACCCTAAACTTTTTTTGGGGTGAAGCTTAGGAATTACCTTTTTCAACAATTTAGGCACCTCCATGGTTCCATTTATGGTGCCGTTAGTTTTAACATGGGCCTATTACAAAATTAAAAATGAGTGAATTGTCTTCATCTTAAACAAAAAGGAACCAAAATGACGTAGGCTACGTAGCATGTTTTTAAATATTTTTAGGTCTTCATCAAACTAATAAGGTCACACGTGCACTCATGTCATTAATTATTTCATTTTGTATTTGCTTCTTAAATCTTGATAGATATATTAAAGGATTTATGATTTGCAGTAGGGAGGAATCTCAATTCACATGGGAAAAATCACATTTTCAGTATCTCATATCACACATTAAAATGTAGTTCTTGTATTTTCTAGTTTGAAAATGTCACCTCTTGGGCCTTAGTTCCTGAATTGTTATAAATGTGATCATAAACATTAAGAATGTTTTTACTTGGACCGGAAGTTGTTTGGCCTGGTCTGGTCTGTTTAAGTCTGAATTGGTCTGATCTGGTTTGATAAATGTCTGGTCTCGGACTTGGTTGAGTACTTCAAACTATTTTTTAGGATTCTTTTCCACTACTCTTTAGTTGGTAATATAGAGTGCCAAAATAGGATCAAATCTTTTAAATTTTCAAAATAGGAGTTTCAATCCCTTTTCACATTTATTTTTGGGGAAATTTCTAAAATAAGAGTGAAAACATTTTGTAATTTTAAAATAGGATTGTCACATTTTTATTCCTTAAATAGGAATAATTATTATCAAGTTTGAAAAATACTACAAAGTTTAAAGCCTTATAGTGTCAATTCCTGGTATTAATTACTGTCATTTAGAAAATAAAATATGATAGTTCTATTTTGAAATTCACAAACGTCTTTATTTCTATTCAGGACATGTTTTTATGTATTGTTACTCTTTCATTTGTATTCTTCCTTCTTGTCTCGGCACATAAGCCATTTTCTTTTCTTTTCTATATTAAGCTAATTTCATTTCTCTTGCTTATTTTTTCCCTCAACTCTAGCCATTAGTGTCCATGTATGTCCACATCTTACGAGTAGATATTGATTTTTGAGAAAAGGATCAAATAAACTCTCGTACAATTTGCGATTTTGTAATCAAGTGCTTGAATCAGAAGACTATCAAATATACCCAAAATGAAGCAATCAGATCCATTTTGAATTGCAAGTCTTCAGGTTCATGGGTCCGATTGCGAAATCACAAATAGTTCGAAGACTTATTTCCCCCATTTCTCTTGATTTCCCCCCAAGTATATACAAATGCCAGAAATTCATTTCCATGCCTAAGTAACGTAGTACTACTTCAAAAAGTGTAGCTCAAATGATATGAAAAAAGAAAAGAAGCAAATTGAAACAAACATACTCGTAAATTTTAAGGGAGTAAAAAAGATAAAGAGGACTTATATTATTTGCTAATGTTATTTATAGTATATGTTCATTACATATGTAGATAAAATTAGTCCCTTTTGGGCATGCAAATATGAAGTTATCTTGAACCCTTAACTTAAAATGATGTGATCCTTCAATAATTTATTATTCTCACACAAAATTCTTAACTACTCCCTCTGTTCGGGTAAATTCTCTCGGTTTTGACCAGTATCACAAATTTATGCAAAAAGTTGGGAGGGTTGACTTTCCCATTACACCCTTGGCCGAATGGAGTAAAGAAAGGGGTAAAAGGTGAGGTAAAAAGTTTAAATTGGATAGAAATGATTAAAAGTAGAATTGATTGACATGTGAATAGTAAACACTATTCATCCCAGCCAAATTGTGCATAGCTTAAAAGGAGGGAGTTCAATTTATAGTTCATTACATATACTCCTCTCTCCTCACAATTACACCATACACTCCACACACACGAACACTTACAGCATACACTCCACCCACACACACACTAAAAAAAACTGGCAGCTTTTATACTTGGTTCATCTTCCACAGCTGCATCTTCTTCCACATTTTCTTCATCGTCCACACTTCCTTCTGCGTCTTCCACACCAGGATCCCTAGACCTAGAAATCATAGCATTAACAGATGATGAGGGTGATGTAGTGGTTAAAAAAGGCTTTCAAACACTGAAAAAGATAGCATAGCAGATGCACTCCTAATGTCCAGTTGGAGGATTTTTTTTTTTTTTTTTGGGGGGGGGGGGGGGGGCTTGAAAGCTCAGAAAGGTATTTTCGTTATACTTGCTGAAAAGTTTGAAGTGTCCAAAACAACTATTTCTGGCATTTTGGAGACAATAAAAAAACAAGTTGTAAAAGGTGATGCAGTAGATGCGCGTAGGAAGCGGCCTAGTAAATCTGGCAGAAAAAGGATAGAATTTGATCTATCTCACATATCACAGATCCCACTGCATAAAAGGACTAACATAAGGTCATTAGCAGCTGTCACCTCAATTTCAAAGTTTAGTATCCACAGATTGGTTCACAGAGGTAAGCTCAGAAGGCATCCAAATGCAATAGTCATTTTTAAGTGATGCAAATAAATTGCAAAGAAAGTTTTGTCTTAGGCGGGTTGAGGAAGTCAATGCCACAGAATCTTACTTTTCAATCATTTTAGAATGTTATTCACATCGATGAAAAATGGTTTTTCATGACAAAAACTTCTCAAAGATTATACATGGGGTTGGAAGAGACTGATCCACACGGAGTATGCAAATCTAAGAGGTTCATAACTAAGGTAATGTCCCTAAGCGCAGTGGGTAGGCCCCTATTTTCAGAAATTGGTGAGGTGATTTGGGATGGGAAAATAGGCAGGTTTCCATTTGATGAACAAGTTGCAGCAAAAAGAAGAAGCAAAAACAGGGATGCAGATGTTATGGAAACCAATCCTATCCTTAGCATAACAAAGAAAGTGTTCAAAGACATGTTAATCAACACAGTCATCCCAGCAATCAAGGAAAAATGGCCTCCATAGTTAAGAAAAGAAATCATAATACAACAAGACAGTGCAAGGTCACACATTTCACATACCGAT